AAATTATCATAAATTAATGTCCTTTTTAGTCATTACATATTTAAAAGTACATTTTAAAAGCACAAATATTTATTAATCCAAATAATTTTTAATTTGCTAAACTGACTTTTAAAAAATTATATCCAAATATAAATTTATTTAAACAACTAACTTTCACCAAACTAACTTTTGTCAAATAAATTTTTATTAAACTGAAAACCAAACACACACTAAGTTGTTTGCTTTCTTTAAGAAAATATGCATGAATTTTTTTTTTAAGAATTAAGTTCCAAAATGTATACAAGATGAATATATATATATATATATATATATTTATTTATTTATTTATTTATTTACATGAATATTGATATATTAATACAATATGATTGCTTTTGCAAATGGCAAAACACACGAGAGACAGATTTAAAGTGACTTTGGACAAAACGAAGTGGTTTTGGTTGTGGACTCCAGAAATTCCTCCACAGAGAAGGATCTTACTTAACCACTCATTGTAAAGCAAGTGGCGTGCCATGCACGTGGCATATCATTCAAACCTTTTCTGTAAAAATCTAGATCTCCTTGAGACTTAATCATGAAATTAAGGACGTACTATCTTTCAAGTGATTAAATTATCATCAAGTTGAAAATCACTCTCTCGTTATCTTTAACCCCACCTTAGCCTCCTCTCTTGTCGTCTTTATTGAATATAAAAAAATTATTATCACTTTTTTGGCCAAAAAAACATTATCATTTTGCAAGGAAAAAAAATGCCTCAGGACTGTCTAGGACAATCTTTCGAGGGGCTTTTTATTTTTAATGAAAAAAACTCATTAACCCTATAAAATTTAAACACATTTCTAACTCTATCTTTAGGAAATATATATTTTAATAATATTCAGTAATCTTATATATAAGATACTTTTAACATATTTTATCGCAATTAAAAAAAACTTTAAAATTATTAACTTTATCTAAAAAGTTAATAATTTCTTAACTTTGCCTTATTTCTTCTGATCCAAAATATAATCATTTTTCTCAACTAATTTTAGTTTAAATATAAGTAACGTAGTAATGCAATTTATCAAATAATTTTAGTTCAAATATTAATAATCTAAACATTTAACATTTTTTTTCCCATTTTATCCTTGTAATTATTAATTTATATATTTGTATAAATATATTTCTCACCCATCATAGAGTACATTGTAATTGGGACTATAATCAAAAGGGAAAACAAATATAATTTTTATAGGAATGAGGACTTTATTGGTGTGTAATTTTTTTCAAAAACTATTTATATTTTGAACTAGAGGGAGTACTAAATATATATGCTTTAACAGCATATTTTCTACACTTCAACATTTAATGAAAGTCAAATGAAAAAATTTTATAATAAAAATTTAATGAGATGACTTATAAATAGAACAAAAAAAAAATCTTATTTCTCTATCATATAAATAAGAGTTAAAAAATATATTTTATCTCACCAACAATTAGGAGAGGGTATGGGGAAAGGAACAGTGTAATAAAATTAAGAAATAAATAATAAAAATTCCCCCCCACATATATATAAACCTATAAATAAAAATGGAGAGTACCAATTTTTTTAATTTACGTGAAAAATATAAAATATCTTATAATAAATACAAATGAGAATATTTCTCCTATGTTTAATTTAAGGTCAAAGGCCAACTTGAGATCTAAATGCTTAAAACAAGATTACAGAGGTACATGTGTGGAGAATTGTTGTAGGATATACTGCCTAAGTCATTTATGCTCTCTAATAAAAATCTGCAATATCAGATGATTATAAATATGAAGTCATTCTACATTAACGATAATAAAGAGAAAAAAAGATAATAAATAAAAGAAAATGGACACTCTATTT